GCCATTCCCCCCCCTCCCCCCCCCCCCCCCCCAAAAAAAAAGAAAAAGGAGTGCTGTAATCTGGCTTTCTTCTATGCTGTTCTCTAGGCTTCAAATGCCCCACTCATATGAATTATACTTTCAAAAAAAAATTGAAATATTACCTTTTACATCTCTTGTTAAATTACATCTTACAAACAAAGATTTATTTCCATTACATCAAAACGCTGAGCTGCTCACATTTGGCATGCATGTTCTATCTATATTAAATGACCTTCAAACTGTTTTCTACTGAGTCTTCAGACTTTCACATGGGATGAAGAATAGGCTCTTATTTATTGCAATTGGCATCTAATTTCAGATTTCATTTGAAGGAAGGTTTTGATGCTGCTTTAAAAAAAAAAAAAAACAGTTGAACAATTACTTCCCTCTACCAAGGAGTGTGAGTCCCTGCTAAGTAGTTTTTATAGTCAACTAGATCTGGGTTGGAATTTTTATTTTTTTGGTGGCTGGCCAGAACGAGGATCCAAACCCTTGACCTTGCTGTTGTAACACCATTCACTCTAACCAACTGAGCTAACCAGCCAGCCCTGGGTTCGAAATTTTTACTGTGCCACTTCCTATGTGCCTTGAGGAAGTTACTTAACCTAAGCTTTGGTTTTCTCATCTGTAAAATAGGGAAATACCTAAATTACAGAGTTTTAATAAGAATAATATAATGAATCTAAGGTTCTTAGCACAGAATCTGGTATCCAGGTCAAAATAAATGGGAAGTATGATGAGCTTTTCTTCCAAGAGAAAAGGAAAGATTGTCCTATTTACAACCTCACTAATAAATGACTATGCATAGTAAAGGCACAAAGCTGTTCTTGGTTATTCATGTTTAATGATAATGATAATAGTAATAACAGCACTGGCCATGTATTGGGAACCTATATTCTTTTGAAAGCTTTAGACTGCCTCATTTAATATGCAAAGTAACACCATGAGGTAGATATATGAATGAGAAAACTAAGTCTCATAGAATTAAGTAACTTGCCCAAGAAGTATTAAAAACCGGGGTTTGAACTTAATTTTCTTTCTTCAAAATCCTCTATACCTATACTGTGCTGCTAGAAATGACATTATTAAATACCAAAGTAAAAGCATTAATTTTGCTGCTGTCATTGTTTATAGAACTTAAACACGGATGCACACGAAGAATACTTACTAATAGTAAAAGCTGTCAGTCTACTAATAAAAACATGGCCATATTAAGAGAATCATTTCTTAAGTATTAATTACATGTTAGGCCCTGTGCTAAAGTAGTAGTTTAATTTGCACCATTTCTAATGAATGAAGAACTCAAAATAAATCAGGTCTAGCTACAGGCCAAGCACATAACAAGTCCAGTTCTGTTTCTGAAAGAAAATCACTGGCTTTGGTGGCTCTTCTTACTGCAGTGTCAGCACCCTTTTCCCGAAGCAATAGGCTCTCTTTGAAAAGAACTCATAAATACTCAAAAATAACTTGTGGACGGTGCTATCACTCTGACGACTCTTACTTCTATAAAATCAAGATAAAACCACCCATTTACCTACCTACTTTTCAATAATTACCACAATTATGATTTATAGTTTAATTATGGGTTTTGTCAACTTAAAATGGCTCTGTGATCCCCAATATCCATATTCTGGCTTCCCCTCAAGCTTTCCAAAGAAAAACAGCAGTATTTTAGGGCCAGTCACTCAGTACAGCTACCAGGCAGCACTGCCACCTGCTATGGTATTAGCAGCAGAGTCAAGGATATCACAGAATTGACCTGAACCCTAATTTTGACCACATTGTAGCCAACATGGCAGTTCTGACAATATTGCCACCCTAGTGAAAGACTGTATGGAGCAAAGTATAGGAAGAAGTGGATCTTATATATGATCTTATATTATGTTTAGGAGTGTATTTGTGCCACAAGTCTCTAATTTCTGATCCCAGTCCTTATCTCTAAAATCAGGTTGATGAGATCTAGTCTCTTTTAACTTTAAGATACTGATTGTTCTATGACCTGTGGCTAGAATTACTTTTAACTCTAAAACTTTACAATTCTTCAGCATATAAAATACCGACATTTTGCATATCTATAAACAACAAATTTCAAGTTGTTCTAAATCAGAGGTTTTTTTTATTAAGTTGTAGGTCACAATTCATCAGTGGGTAATAAAATTGATAAGATGGACAGAGACCTGTATTACAAAAAAATTAACTGTATCAGAATAAAGTATTAAGTTGTAAAACTTTTGTTCCTCTTTACATAAAATATACACTTGTACTCACCTATGTATGTACTGGTTGCTGTGTAAAATCTGTTTCTTACAATGTTTCTTATTCATATTCAAAAGTTTGAAACTCACTGGTCTATAAAAATCTTTAGAACTATGGTCAATGTTAATATTTAAAATATATATTTATATATGTATTATATGTGTGTATATATTAATTTTAGCTAAAGCCATTGTAATACATTTGAAACAGATAAAAAAAAAAGTCCTTATTTTTTCCTACATGAGAGCTATCTAATGGTATACTTCCTGACCTGCTCCAACAACCCTTTATTGACTGTCCAACGGCACCTAACAACCTATGAAGGAATCAGCCTTTCATCTCTCTTTAATCCTTGGTCATTTTGACTACAGGTGATGTGGTAATTAAGGGTAGTTTCATGATGAGTGTCACCCAGACTCTAGAGGTTTACTGAAGCTCTCTGCGATGATAACCTAAATTTCAAGTAGTAACCAGAGGAGAAAAATGGGGGTAGGGAAAGAGTAATTTTCAACAAGGACATTAGATGTCACGTTGAAACAATTGGGCTAACTCCAGGTAGAAAGCCAAAGACTTTATACATGGTGGTTCTTTATTCTCATCCAGCCTACGAAGCTTAGGAAGCTCAGGAAGCTCAGTTTCATGTGTGACAGAGCCCATCTACAAAGCTGGAATGTTAATAGGCTTATTTCCAGACATGTCTCAAGAAAACTAAGACTAATTCAGTATAGTTGGAATGAACCTTGCCCGTCACAGCTTATAATCTGATAGGAAGACAACAACAAACATATATATATATATGTGGGTGACTGGGGAAGACAGTTCATCTCCCTGTCTAGACAGAATGGGTGGATGAATTATTTTAATGCCATACCTCTCTCTTTCAAGAGACAGCTTCATAGTCACACGTTCAATATTTATTCTAACACCATCTCAAATTTTTTCTTGTGATTCTTTTCCTATGTATTATTCATTACTACCCCACTTTGGTAAAGTGTCATTTGAAAAATATATAACAGATATCACTTCTAGCACATAAAATGAAAATAATTTCCTATCCTTAAATACTTTGGGCTTCAATTCAGAAACTAGAAGTAGATATTAATCATTTATTGAAAAGAATTTATTTCCTCAACTGGCAAAAATTTCCAGAGTGCTTTCTTCATATACCAAGCACTGGGGATAGAAAGACGAAGAAGACACAGCCCCTGCAATCCAAGACATCTTTGACATGAACTATATAATGTGCTAGTGTGACTTTGGAGGTCATGAACTCCAGGGGAAAATAAATGTCATCCTTAATATAAATCAACCATATTCTTAATGAATGAATGAATGAACCAATGAACCAACCCAGGCTAAAACCTGAATCCAAATGAATACAAAGTCTAGCAAGAGGGGATTTCCTGTCTGTTTTTTCACCATTGGTCCAGACCCCACTGTAGTAACTATAAGACATTGAAGGCTGAGCTTACCAGTTCCTCCATGGGAGGCTCCTCCATATTTAGAGGGACTTTTGACTCAATATCCTCCCACCCAGGAAGGTGATTAGAAGCTGGGGTGTCAGTAACAATGCCACCATTTTGTACCTTGATTCCATTCACTCCCTGGCAGGTAGAAGAAATATGGTGGAAGAAGAGGCTCTTCTGTGGCATAGGCAGAAACCAGGCCACAGCAAAAGCCACTGAAACACAGGTAAGAGAGATGACATTCAGGCTGAACAGGGACCAGCCTGCCACTGAGATGAGGATTTGTCCAAGGACAGAGCCCACTGTGAAGCCCACCAATGTGGCACTTCGACAGTAACTTGTGACTTTCTGGTACATGCCCAGGTCTACCACACTGTAGATGTAAGAGTAATAGGCAATTTCAGTGGCTGTGGCGACGCCGTAGAAGAATTCCAGGAACTGAATGGCCAGCAGTCCCTGGGCATAGAGCAGCATAAACCATGTAACAATAAGGCTGAGTCCCTGCAACAGAACAACGGGTTTATAACGGAGGTAGTCTGTGGCAAGGAACACAGGAAACAGCAGCACCAGGTAAGAGTAAGTCCATACTGGATAAATTTCATTGAAGACCTGGTTGAAAAAGAATAAAAACCCATTAGTGATCAAAGGACCTGGGATATTCATAAAGAATTTATTCTTATAAAACAACCTACCAACACCTCAAATACCTCATCCTTAGCAACCAAAGAAACCTTAACAACAGTTCAGAAAGTTGTTTGGAATATCTTTCCTTTTCCCCACTCCATTATCTTTTCCTAATAAAATCCTTCCCATTCATCAAGGCCTAGATCAAAGAATTCCTTGTACAGGAAGGCTTTGTTGAAGCTGATTGAATTTGTATAACAGCATTCAAAGCTCTCTTGATACTGCTTTGTATGTGTCAGTTTCCTCAGTTAGCTCATAATACTGGTTCTTCACTATGGCTGCACATCTCCCAAGAAGCCTTAAAATTTTAGATGCCCAGCCATAGATTTTTTTAAAAAACCTTCCAGGAGACTTAAATATGAGCCAGGGTTGAGAACCATTACCTTACAGGTTCTTTAAGGGTAGACCCCACATTTATCTGTACAACCTAACTGCCACCATACTGTTTGGAAGATACTAGGCTCAATAAGTGTGTTGCAACGTAAATCATTGCCAATTCTTACTTCCAGACACAGGATAGGGAGTCTTGATCCTATTGTTTGATTAGGTTTCTCTGACTTTAAGTTTCATTTCTTTTGGGGCAGAGGAATAGGTAAAGATGGTAAATCTGTCCTAAAGTCTTGAAAGAATATCACTGGGTAATAGGATTATAGGCAATTTTTATGTCATTCCATTTGCTTGTTTGTAATATGAAAAAAAAAATAGAAGTTTTGGTTGTTTTCTTTTTAATACATATTTTTAAATTGGCATATAGCAGAAATAATCTTTAAAATAAGCTTTAAACCAGAAAAAAACCCAGCTAGAATTTCAGTTCCATCACTTGGTGTGGTTACAGGCAAGTTCCTTCAACATATTTTTAAATTGGCATATAGCAGAAATAATCTTTAAAATAAGCTTTAAACCAGAAAAAACCCAGCTAGAATTTCAGTTCCATCACTTGGTGTGGTTACAGGCAAGTTCCTTCAATCTGCTTAGCCCTAATCTCCATTATCAGTAAATGAAGGGTAAAACCTATGTCATAGGGTTGTTTGTTGCAAGGATTAAATGAGAGAATACATGTAAATTACTTACTCCACTTTATTTATTCACAAATCTGAAGACCATAGAACTCAAACTGAAACATAGACTACCTGGGCAATATGAATTAACTAAATTAATTGGACAATATCTCCATTCGTCCAATAACAATTACTGTAGGAAAATTTTCCTTCCTTTTACACCTACCTACTGTGTAGTAAGGTCCTGAGGGTTTAAGTCAGTCTTTTAAATGATTATTTCAAAGCCTGGATCAGTGTCCTGAATTTTTAAGTACTTTTTGGAAAGCAGTCTTGGTAAGAGGCTTAATACCTTGTGACAGAGCAATCCAATCCTAGACTTTGACATTCTGAGACCAAGATTAACTTTCTTCTGAACTCTCACGTATATCTCAGTTCACCCAAGTGTAAATTGAGCTAATTTTTCTAAGGTTTTAGAGGAACCATAAAATAAATAATTCCTGTAAAATCTTTTGCCAATGGAGAGCACACTATAAAAATAAAACATAAGTTCTATTTTCTCAACTATATTCCAGGCTTGATTTCTGACTGGCCATGTATCTAAAGTGATCTGCTTAATGGCCTCATCTTCATGAACTTTGGTCTAATTTGTGTTTGTGAATCAGTTAGCAACCTCCACTTGATCAAGAAATTTTGTTGCACTTGAATATATGCATGAAAGAATAATCAAGAACTGTAGAAATGATTCTTATTCAAAAGTATAGAAACCTTAGCACATGAGGAACACAGTGCCCTTGGCCAGGGTAACCAAAGCCTAAGACACCTCTCAATAGAAAACCAAAGCAGTCAAGGGTGACCTTGTGATGAAGGCTGTGAACAGTGAAGGTTTCCCTACAGACTTCACAGTTGTGTTCCAGTTGACAACTTCCCACTCCTTTCTTTGCCTATACTCTTATAGATACTCTCCTTCAGTCTTCTAAAATCTGCAACTGCCTCTGTTTGATTCAGCATGTTTCACCTTCACATTTTCCCAAAAGTGTTTTTCCCAATATAGTACCACAAAGCTACTAGCCATCAAACCTTTCCTTTAAAAGTGTCCTGTATTGTTCCTTCAATACCTCATCTTTTTTTGTTTTAGGACTTTGGTTGAATTCTTCACTTCAATAATATTGTCTATGCTTAGATATGTTATGTAACTTTCACTAACAGTTGTCCCCAAATGATTAACTGCCAAGTTTTCGTTGTATAAGTCCTGTCCTTTTAATTATCAATTTAAAGTATCTACATTCATGAGTCTAATTCTACTCCTAATACAAAACCAAAACTTAGATAATGAAGATGAGGGAAAGTAACACTGCCACCCTTGCAATGCCAACTTAAAACAAAAATAAAGGCAAGTGGGGTCAGGGGGAAGACTAGACAGTTTCTCTTCAACTTATTACAAGTAAGAGACCTGCATTTTGTCCTATGAGACATCAATACAAGATGAATGATCCTCTCACACTATTATCAGCATCATAACAGCAAACCTCTAATTTACATGCTACACAACATGCTAAGCACTTTACCTAAATAACCCCCATTCAATCCAAACAACAACGCTCAGAGGTAAATGCTTTCATCTTCTCTATTTTACAATCAAGGAAACTTGGCTTTAGAGAAAGGTTAAGTAAATTGTCCAAAGTTATCACAGCTAGGATTGGCAGAAGGATGTGAACCCAAATATTCTGAATCCACCACACTAAAATGCCTGATTTCTTCTACCAGAAATATGTTATTGATCATCTATTATGTTCCAAGATTACTTTTAATGCCTGCAGTAACTTTTTCAATCTGCATTAAGGTGATTTTATAGGGCATTCCTGAAGAGATAAAGACCACACAGTTTCCAGAATTTAGCCACTGGGTCTGCAAAGGAGATCCCTTCTCTTTCAGTGACCCCAAGGGGAAGTCATTACACCAGAAAATCCTTCTTTCATAGATACTTTGAATCTTGAAGGGAAACTTCCTACAGGCAAAAAGGTATAAATTACAGACCCTTATTAATTGTCCACATCCTAACTTCTCACCACAAGTAAAATCTGCCACGTAAGCAAAGGCAATTGATTTTATTCTAATCAAGGTGCCTCTCACAACTCTTTGGACCAGAATTTGTTTATGTTCTTCTAAGATACAGAAAGTGGAGAGAAAACAGACGTCTAGTTTTAAGCTTTAAAACGGATTTAGACTTTTAGAATAAAGTGTCAATTAACTATTTAATAAGCACTTATTTGCACAACAAATATGAAATATGGAGTTGCTTTTTTGAGATGAAATTTGAAGAATAGGAAAGTTAGAGTCTGATAGAAAGCTATCAACAGATATGTATAGGAAGATTATTCCAAGTAGACATCACGTGTTTGAGTACAGGCCAACAGATGAGACACTGTGGATATGCTGTATTTAGGACTGTAAGATTAACATGGATGGAGCTTGGGTTTGTGGGAGGAACAAGCTCCCAGTGTTGATACTTGAAAGCTGATCTGTTTTGTCATGTGCCCTGGGTAGAGGATGGCAAGGGGAAGAAGGATGTTGTGGCTGTCAAGAAGGTAAGAATCAAACTCTGTAAGGATCTGAATATCAGGCAAAATAAGTGGAATGTTTAAGAAAATCAAAGACAGGTAGTAAATGTCAAACCACATGCTACAAAGAGGAAAGGATTTTTAAAAGTTTTTGGAAATAAAGACCTCTATTTTATTGAAAGTTTGCATTTCAACTTTTAGAATACAAATTTTAACCTGCTTAAAATTTATAAAGTGGTATCTGTTTTAAAATTAATGCTATTCCTAAAATCTAAGAAAAAATCCTTGAGAATAGAAAGAGGAAATTCTGTATTGTTTTCCCCTCCTTTTGTCTTTGGACATTAACACTAACTTTATTTAAGATGATTTAAATTGGCCCTTCTAAAGTCTTCTGGGGGAAATACCAACTTCAATACAAGGATCACTAAACATCACTTGGCATTCACTTTGCTTAAAAATAATATAATATTTTTTATTTAACCTGTTCATTGCTGAGCACTCAGGAAGGAGAACAAGTTGTTCTATTTATTTCAGTGATTAGTTATTTTAAAAATCTTTGGTTCTCCACAGGGTGAGCAGAGCCATACTGCACAAAACCAACAGAATCAGCCATGATTCCAAGGCCCTGAGACAAATGACACCTCTTCCCCAGACCACTAGATTTCCCTTCATATCCCACCCTCGTCTTCACCTAATTTGCAATAACAGAAGTATGTGTATGTTTTTGTTACACAGTCAGCAAGTATTTACTGGGCCTTGCACCCCTACTTTATTTCTACACCCTCTGAACATACTTCACTCACCCTGGAAAGCTTTGTCATAAGATGGGGCACATGATCATGATAGCACATCACACAGCAACCCTCTACCCAGGGCATGTGACAAAATAGATCAGCTTTCAAATATCAACACTAGGAGCATATTCCTCCCCCATGTGCTTCTCTGTCAGGGAAGGTATACAAACTGAGCAGATCACATGGCAGTGCACATGAAACTTTAATTGTCAGCTGCTCACAACGATATCATTTCTGCCTCAGTGGCTACACCTCAGATTCAGTGGTTGTTTTGGGTCTCCAGAATCATACTTTCTTACATAAATACAGTAATTTTATTCTCATAAAATTGTTCTGTTCACAAGAGTTGGCACTTTCCACTTTATTATTGTTTTTAGCCAATATTAAATAGGTAACGAATAACTATTATGTACCTTACATAGTGATCCATAAGGCTGGGAAACAGATCATCTGAAGTTGGGTAAAAGTCAATGATATGTGCTAGGGGTGAAACAATGTCAAACACTCAATATCCAGGATTCAACACTGACTCTCAATTCTCTCTCAAGTGCCCTTGAAAATGAAGTAGCACTGCAACAACAAACTGGACTATGAGTAACTGTATTCTGCCAATCTGCAAATGATTCCAGTAGTGCCACCTCTCACTCTGACCTGTTACACAGGGTTACTGAGTTGCTACTCAAAAAAGGTGATTGACTACTCACTGGGGTTAGAGTTAGATTTAAATGGGAGGAGTATTTACAGCAACTGGGGCAGGGTGGGAGGAAAAGAAGGTGTAAGAGAAAAGGAACGGCTAACTAGTCCCCACTCAGCTTTCACCCTTTGTAGTGTTCAAGAGGGTGGTGAATCTGCTTTTTTTGGTTTCGTGGTAGCACTCCGGTTTAATTTATTTTTCAGTTTATATAATATCTTTCTACTGCAAAAAGCAAGTGTTGGGTTTGACCATGCACTTTAGGGGTTAAACACATTTCTAAAGTACACTATGTACTTCTGAAGTACTTTACTTATAAGTCCTTATCTAGGGAAAATTAACCAGCAAGAAGTTCTTGATCATGGACTACTACGTGCTCTTAATTACCCAAAGCATCATGGCCTGCACAGAAGCTCTGAAAGATCTCACTGTGTAGTTGAGGTGCAAAACTAACATCTGTGAAGCAACAATTCACAATACAAGAAAAACTATAATTAAGTGCCAATTATGAGATACCATCTGCTTTTATCTCAGGAGGTGGGGTTAAGAGGGAGGGGGGCAGGAAGGACATCTTCGGACACAACCTCACCCAATTAAAAATCAAGGCAAATTAAGATGATGAATTCTTGTCCTGTACTGTCCTTATCTGACTGAGTCCATTTATTCTGTCAAAGGTAAACAAAGGGGATGGGAAGGAAGGGGATGCAGCAGGTAGACGAACGCTTCTTTTAGAAAAGCATTGGTTACCCACATTCAGTCAACGAATATTTACTAAACTCCATCATATCCAAGGTACAGCTTGCTGTTTCCACTTATTAAAATATCGCCCCTTCCCCCCAGCAGGATCTGCTGAACCAGTCTGGGCAGAGTAGGGCTAAGCCACGTGACAGTATCAGCAGCACATCGCCTGAAGCACACATGCACAGGGGCTTCGGACCCGCGCCCTGTAAATCCGAAGGACAACCGGAAACTATAAATTAATACAGCGCGGGACACGAAGCCGTCTTCCAACTGGGAAAGATCAGAATCTCTGCCCAGGGCCGGCCTGTGGCTCACTCGGGAGAGTGCGGTGCTGATAACATCAAGGCCACGGGTTCGGATCCCATATAGGGATGGCCGGTTGCTCGCTGGCTGAGCGTGGTGCTGACAACACCAAGTCAAGGGTTAAGATCCCCTTACTGGTCATTTAAAAAAAAAAAAGAACCTCTGCCCAGACTGGCTCCCCTGCTCGGGCGCCCCTCTCACCTCTTTCCTTAGCCGCGTGCCCTCCCCGCACTTTCTCCCCGCTGAGGCCCGCCCCGCTGGCCCGCAGCACGTACCTCCCTCTCCGTCAAGTTCTTGTCGGGCCCCAGCAGGTAGGGGGTCAGGAAGGGCTCGGACGGCCTGAGGCTGGCGAAGAAGCCGTAGGCGCAGAGCAGCGCTGTGGGCAAGAACCAGCACTCGCGAGGGACCCGAGCGGTGCGCAGGAGCATGGTGGCCGCCGCCGCCGCCGCCCGCCGGGATACCGGGCCGGGCACCTCCATCCGGGGCGCGAAGGGCGGGGACCCGGCCCGGCCCCTTCCTTCTCCTCCTCCGCCAACTGCAATGAGATTCGGGAGCTGTACCCGCGAGTGGCGCCTCCTCGCGGCAGGGCCAGGCCGTTCTGGGCTCGCCGCCGTCAACGGTCGCAGCGCTCCTGCCTTCCCCTGCTGGGGGCCCTCACGTGGAGCCGCGAGGCCCAGAGGCCGAAGGGAGACTCGCTCTGAAGCTCACCCTCCGCCACCGCCTCCGCCTCGGAGCCAATCACAGCGGACGTGCGGAATTTGCTTCTCTCTCATTGGTTGTGGCTCACAAGAGGCGAACGGGCGGTGGCCGCCTGCCAGGCTGCTAACGTCCTCCCTCGGTCATTCGGGACTTTATGCAGCGACTTGTCGCGGTGCTGAGCGCTGGTCAGGCGGGAGCCGTCGTTCCACAGCCGCGTCGCGTCGGTCATTCTCCCTGCTACCGCTCACCTGTGGGGAATGCTCCTGGTGGGCCTAATCCCCCACCGAAAGGAACGCGCTCTTCCGTACAGTCACCCCTTTAGATTCTTAATCACTGTCTCTCAGACGTCCGCTCACGTTTTCCTCCCGGAAGACTTAGTGAGCAAGGCCGGGCAGAGATTTAACCTTGGGGCGGGGGAATGCTCAACCTTTGCTTCAGCAGCTTTCATGTTTTAAGTTGTATTCATCTGCATAGATATTAGAAGCCCAGGACCTAAGCGCTTGGGGCGTTTACCAAGATACTAAATAGGAAAAAAAAGGTAACATTGTGAGAAGAATGAACAAGCTAGTCGCTTAACAGAAGGATCGTAATGGAGCCCCAATTAAAGGGTTTTAGCTTTATTTCGTCCCTCTGCAAGCAGATGCAAGGAGAACAAACACCTAATTAAGGTATAGCCTACGGTTAAAAGGAAAGTGGAAAATCCTGAGTCATTAAAACAATCACGAAACACCATCAATCTCTTCATTTAAAAACAAAAACCCAAAAAGAGGTCTTGGCATAGTTTTCAAGGGCAGAGCATGACATGAATCCCCAGTGCTTTTCTTTCATCTGCCTCTGTATGCCTCCTTCTGCCTGACTCAGCCCGACTCTGGTCTAATCCATCCACTGCATTCAAAGCTGCAACACTTAAAGCGATTTTCCCAGTGCAGTATTTGTAGAGAGAGTTCATGGAAACATTTTTGAACTCTCTTTTGAGCTCTCTATTTTGCTTTTATGTATGTTATGATTTATCTAGCTCAATTTTCCTCCTGTGATAGCAAATGACACTTTTTGAAAGAGTCAGCAACAAAAATGAGCCTACTAGATGGAACAAGATACTTTTAGTAAAGGGAAAGATTCGTGTCTTAGACTGCACACATGAATGCACCAAAATATGTGAGCTGATTAATTTGTGAAGAAATACAGTTGGTGGTATTTACATCTCTCACTGAGTCTCAAAGTGTGGTCCAGGAAGCCCTGGGGGTCCTTGGGACCTTTTCAGGGCTTCCATGAGGTCAAATCTATTTTCGTAATCATACTTTATTTCCTTTTCCACTGGAGAGGCTACATAATGTGTGATGACATCATCCCTCTACCAGCTAAGAGAATGTGCATATCTTTGTGTTTAGAAAACTTTCCATTAATTTATAACATGGCAAATATCAAAAGGCATAACTCACAAAAACCAAAGGTGTTTTGGGTCTTCAATAACAAAGGTCCTGAGACCAAAAAGTTTTAGAACTTCTAATCTATATAATACAACTATCTAGTCCCCTAAAATCCAACCATAGTATCTGCTTATCATGACTACGGAGAGAACACCGGTGGTCCTCTTGTCTTTTTCCTTAGATTCGCTGCTTTAGCAGAAAAGAAAGAGAAAGAAATCCCAGAGAGGCCTCAGAAAGAGAAGCCTACCTATTAAGAACAGCTTCTCATCCCTTCATTCCCTGAGGCTTGGAGACGTGAACTGTGTTAATCTGCAAATCGTTGGTTCTGTAACTTTTCCTCGGTATAAATCACTTAGGCACCTCAAATCCTCTTTGCAATGTGGCTGGGTATAAACAAATAATCATTGTTCTTGATTTAGGTAAATGTTTTCTTGTTTTTCTCTGAGAGGTTGTGATGGGCAGAATTCTAAGAATGACCCCCAATGATCCCCAGTGGCCCTTGTATAATCCCACCCTTTTCAGTGTGGGGTGGAACCTGTGGATTTCATGAGATAATACTCTTTGATTTTGTTACATTTTATGACAAAGTGAGATTATCCAGGTGGGTGTAGTCTAATCACACTAGCCAGTTAAAAGCAGAGAATTTTCTCCTGCTGGTAGCAGAGGAGGAAATCAGAGATATTTGAAGGATGCTAAGAATTCAAGGTGCTGCTGCTGGAAGGCACAATGAACCAAGGAATGTGAGCAGTCTGTAACAACTGAGACTGTCCCCTACCTGACAGCCAGCAAGGCATCTGCCGTCTCAGTCCAAAAATCATAAGGAACCAAATTCTGGCAAAATCCTAAATGGATTTAGAAGTGGATTCTTCAGAGAAGAGCCTAGCCCCACCAACATCTTAATTTTGGCCTATGAAACCCTAAGCAGAGACTCCACCCAAGCCCACCTGGGCTTCTGATCTACACTGTGAGCTAAGCTGTTGTAATTTTCTTAAGCCACTAAATTTGTGGTTCAGCAATAGGAAACTAACACAGAGGTAAATAGAATATATTTTTAAAATTTTAGGTAATATTTGCATAACGTTAAGTTAATCATTAATCATATTTAAGCGTACAACTCAGTGGCATTAGTACATTCACTATATTGTGGAACCATCACTTCTATCTAGTTCCAAGACATTTTCACCACTCGAGAAAGGAAACCTGTACCCATTAAGCAGTCACTCCCTGTTCATCCCTTCTCCTAGTTCCTGGCAAACACTAATGTGCTTTCTGTCTCTAAGGATTTACCTGTTCTGGAGGTTTTATATAATATTGGGTCTGGCTTCTCTCACTTAGCATAATGTTTTCAAGATTTATTTACATTGTAGCACATATCAGTACTTCATTCCTTTCATGGCTGAATATATGTGTATATACCACATTTTGTTTATCTATTCATCAGTTGATCAACATTTGGGTTGTTTTGCTTTTTGGCTATTGACAATAGTGCTGCTATGAATATTTATGTGTAAGTGTTTGTCTGAATATCTGTTTTCAATTCTTTTGAGTATATACGTAGGAGAAGAATTGCTGTCACTTGGTAATCCTATGTTTAACAATTCAAGGAACTGCCAAACTGTTTTCCACAGAGGCTGTATTATATTAGATTCCCACAAGGAATGTACGAGGCTTCCAAGTTTTCCACGTTCTTGTCAGCATTTTTTTTTTTTTTTTTTTTTTTTAGGTAAGATAGCTATCCTAGTGGATGTGAAGTGGTATCTCATTGTGATTTGATATGCATTTCCCTAATGACTGATGCTGAGCATCTTTTCATGTATTTGTTGGTCATTTGTATATCTTTGGAGAAATGTCTATTTATATCCTTTGCCCACTTTTTAATTGGGCTGTCTTTTTGTTGTTGAGTTATAAGAGTTCTTTATATATTCTGGATACAAGACCTTGGTCAGATATGTGATTTGCAAATATATTTTCTTCCGCTCTATGGGGCTATATAGAACATTGAGGGACATTTTCCTCTATTATAAAAAAGCATGTAGGGGGTGTGTGTTTTGCAAAAAGTAGGATTACATTACATAATTATACACTTTTCTGTCTCTTATTTTTCTCTCTAAGGAATACTTCATGGAGATTCCATGTAAAGAGATACAGCTCTAATTTTCTAATGGCTACATAATATTCCATTATGTGGGTATACTATGCAACCATTCCCTATTTATGGTCATTCATTCTTTTCTAGCTTTTGGCCATCACCAACATTACTGCAATTAACATCCTTGTACAATGTATGTTTATGTATTTTAAATTTCATTTTAATGGAATTCATTTCCAGAGTGGGATTGCTGGGTTAAAGAGTGTATGTATTTTTGGGCCGGCCCGGTGGCGCACTGCTACAGTGCGCCGCTTGGGAGTGCGGCGGCGCTCCCGCCAAGGGTTCGGATCCCACATACATACCGGCGGCTCACTGGCTGAGCAAGGTGTGGGTGCAACGCCAAGGGTTGCGATCCTGTTGCTGGTCCCGGTCCGGTACGGGCACGACACTGAGGGTTGCGATCCGTTGCCAGTCACAAAAAAAAAAAAAAAAAGAGTGTATGTATTTTTAATTTTAATAGGTATTGCTTGGTTGTTTCCCATAAAAGCTATAATAACTTACGTTTTTTACTAACAACATATGAAAGTATTTCTTTTCCACTGCATCCCTGATTACCGATGTAATCAGGCTTTTAATTTTTCACTTGTCTAATAGCTGTATATCATTAGTTCTCAACCTGTAATGATTTTGCCCCACAGGAGACATTTTGCAGTCTGGAGACATTTTTGATTGTCACCACTTGGAGATGGGTACTACTGGCTTCTACTTGGCAGAGCCAGGGATTCTGCTAAATATCCTGCAATACTCAGAGTAGCCCCCATGACAAATAGTTGTCCAGTCCAGAATGCCACTAGTGAGGAAGATGAGAAACCATGGTATAAAGCTGAGAAACTTTGGTATAAAAATACTAATAGATCTGCAACATAACCAGAGCCACTTTAGATAAGCCCAAGTACAAAATGGCGCTGTCCACCTCCTCCCCTCCGCTCCCCCCTTCCCTTTATGAGAAGCCTCCTGACTTAAACAGAAACCCCTTTTGCTTCTGCAAGGACACAGTTCTCCCCCCTTCCCCCCCAATCCACATTAGCATAATGCCCCTCCTTGATGGTATCAGCCAGCCCTTGGCACACTATAAGCTCTACCACCCCCACACCTGGTGCTGTACACCATTTTCAGGGGATCCCTGGGCTGCCTGCCACTCTGAGCACAGCCCAGAAGATTTCTTTCTTTAATAAAGTTTGAATAGTACCCAGCATCTTGGCTCACTTTCTTTCAGATACCTCATTGTATCTTCAATTTGAAAATTTTTATGGGTGAGTTTAGCATCTTTCCATATGTTTGTCAACTCTTCGGATTTACTTTTCTGTAAATAGACTATTCATGTCCTTTGCC